TATATATATATATTAACGGTGGCTCTTAAGACTACGGCTAGTATGACTAACTCTTAAGACTACGGCTGTTTAGCGTCCCGTTAAGACTACGGCTGTTAAGCGTCCCGTAAAGACTCCCTCTGGTATGCGTCCTGCTCTCGCCTCCCGCCAATTAAGCGCCCCGCTCTCGCCTCTCTCCAAGTTAAGCGCTCCTCTCTCGCCTCCCACCTATTAAGCGTCCCTCTCTCCCTCACATCTAAGTTAAGCGTCCCTCTCTCGTACAGTTCTTACTATAAATAGGTAGTATGTTTTTATTGATCCGTTAGAAAGAGCGGGAAAGATGTAGGTAATAAATAAATAAATAAATTAACGTGCATATAGACGAGCGTTCACGAGTTTAATATAACGGTCACAAAATATTTAAACACTATTCTTTTTCGAGCATCTTATATCGCATACGGAACTAATAACTGACGTATGTTGTGAAATAGGCTGTATTTGTGTCAGTAACCTTTCTGATCTTTGTTATCGAATAACGCTAAATTTGTGAAATTGATCTGGTTACATACGACAAACTTCACGGGGCGAGAGAGAAGAGAGAGCATCAATGGAACTGTAACTGGTAACGTCAAGGTAAGCAGATAATGCGCAAATGCAAAAAAAAAAAAAATTGCTGGTACGTCTGCTTTCCGACCTGACTGATTCTTATAATTAATCGTATCAGAAATACTAATGCTGTTATATCAATGCAGTTCAAGGCGAAGAAGAAATGAAAGCATGCATTGATGCATGCTCGCTTTGTATGCATGTGTACGTATGCATGCATGCATTGCGTACACGCTCGATGCATTCACACGTCCTTTCCGACCTAACCGATTCTTTATCATTAATTATATCAGAAATACTAATGCTATTATATCAATGCAGTTCAAGATGTAGAAGAAATGAAAGCATGCATTGATGCATGCTCGCTTTGTATGCATGTGTACGTATGCATGCATGCATTGCGTACACGCTCGATGCATTCACATGCCCTTTCCGACCTAAACGATTCTTTATCATTAATTTTATCAGAAATACTGATGCTATTATATCAATGCAGTTCAAGGCGAAGAAGAAATGAATGCATGCATTGATGCATGCTCGCTTCTATATTTTGTTGAAACATTTACTTACCATGCGTCCTGTCCTGCTTATTGTTAAAACTACAGCATGCTGCTTGGAGGAAATTTTCTTTCAATCCAGGCATCGCCTTTATGGGGCCAGTGAATACTATGAATACGATAAATGTTGTTTATTGCGTGTGGAGACTTCGACACGGACTAATGACTATTTGTCTAAAACGAGCGAAGAGGATTCGCCTTCAATAACTGGTAACTGTGTGAGTAGTTTACTTTATCTAGCAAGTACTTTACTTGCACGTCACACTTTTTCTTTACATACTGCGTTTTAACGACCTATGTAGTACAGATTGAGTCCATAAATAATAAAAATCAATCCATAACATTATCGTTTTTTAGACAAACATATTCCAGTTCACACCGACATGTGAACCTCTCCCGTTGCCTTATGCGCCCCACACTCGCCTCCCGCTGTTATGCCTAGCGCTCTCGCCTCACGCTAGATAAGCGCTCCATACTCGCCTCCCGCTGGTATGCCTAGCATCCTTGTACACCTCTTTCTATATATATATATATATATATATATATGTGTGCGCCAAGAAAGTACGTATATATCAAGAATAGCAACGTAAGTGCAATATATGTATATACTAATAGCAATGTGAGTATAAAATAATAGCAATAAAAGTATATAAATACTGCAATGTAAGTATACAAATATAGCAATGGAAGTATATAACAATAGCAATTCAAGTATATATCAATAAGAATGTAGTTATTTAATAATAACATGTAGGTATATAATAATAGCAATGAAGGTAAATAATAATAGCAATGAAAGTATATAATAATAGCAATGAAGGTATATAATAATAGCAATGAAAGTATAAAATAATAGCACTGAAAGTATGTAATAATAGCAATGAAAGTATATAATAATAGCAATGAAGGCATATAATAATAGCAAATTAAGGTATATAATTATAGCAATGAAAATATATAATAATAGCAATGAAAGTATATAATAATAGCAATGAAAGTATATAATAATAGCAATGAAAGTATATAATAATAGCAATGTGTGGAAGTATATATTAGTAGCGAAGTATAAGTATATTTTATTAAAATTTTTAGCTGTTGGTCACAACAACTACCGTACTTTTCTTCTTAGATATCCAAGTTGTAATCTCAGATGCACTGGCCCAATAGTGCAATCCCTGATGTTTTAGATTATCCACTGACCCTATTATTTCTACTAAGAAAATGGTTTTAGAAACATGCGTATCGAAATGGTATCCCAATATAGTGATATATTTCGCTCCTTGAGTAGTAATCATCTCAAGGTTTCTGTTACTTATATTATTATGGAGCCGATTGATTTGTACTTGAGGTATTTCGATATTCCAATCCTCACGCGTTGACCTGGGAATTGCGTATCCCCTTCGCTTGATATAAATGCATTTTACTCCATCAATATGCCCAGACTCACCGCACATCTCACATACTCTACCCTTTTTACCAGGTGATCCTGTCTGACGTTCATCGATTCATCGACTTGCGACGATTGAGTCAGCTCGTCGTACGCATGTCGGCCTTGTGATTGGAATTGTGAAGCCTGATTAGGCGATGGATCGGCTTGATTAGGTGATGGATCGGCCTTGGGATTATTCTCTTCTAGCTCATAGAACACACCGCTGTCAATACTGGTGTCCAATGACTTAGATTCTGATTTTTTTGTCCTGTGCCTTGCTACCGCTCTGGCTCCCCTCTGCCTTGCTATCGCTCTTGCGCCCATCTGCCTTGCTACCGCTCTGGCTCCCCTTTGCCTTGCTACCGCTCTGGCCCCCCTTTGCCTTGCTACCGGTTAACAAATCATCGACCAAAGCACTATGAGCCTTGTCATCGCCAAACAAATCACCCCACAAAGTAGAAATATCATCTAGAGTTGATAAGCCCTCGTTTCTGGAACTTGATGCGCCCTCACCACTGGAGCTTAATTCGCGATCACCAACTCCTGTGTCAGTTCGGGGGTTGTTAGATTGATTTCGAGGTTCAGCTCCATGGTAGCGTTTAGTCGCTTGACCTCCTGACCGTCATGGTCTTGGTTCAGGGTCGGTGAACAGATTACATGGAGATACAGGCTCGTTTTTGTTCTTTTTGGAATAAAACACCAATCCACGTTCTACTGCTGCCATCTTGTCATCACCGTGTTCGGCATCGTTATGACGCTGAAATATCAAATTCATAACCTCCATCAAGCCTAGTAGAAAATCGATTTGGCCATTGGCGTCTGCTTGTTTGTATACTCCACCCCATCCGCTTTTGATGCGTCCCATACTTCTCGCTCAAATGGGACTTGGATCGCGAAGCTTTCTTACGTCGTTGCTTATCTGTACCGGCACCGTCATGCGCATCATTATTGTCACTGTCATCCGATTCATCACTTTTGTGTCCATCCGAATCTTCACCATCACCGTCATCCGAATCCTCACTGTCTCCGTCTCTATCATCGCCTATTCCCATGGTGTCATAGTCGAAGTTTTCCACATCGTTTTCGTCGATGATAGGGAACTTGGTGTCTTTCGAATCCTCGATCTTGAGCTTCCACACGGGGTCGAAGTACGCCTGAATGGAACAAAGGTTTGCCTATGTGTTGACACACTGACACAATATGTCTGCACGGAATCTGGTAAAGATCCTGGGATGAGTCGACACGATACGATGTGGCCCTATCAATCTCGACTGAAAAACGCTCGGTACATATTTTACTGCCCCACTTTCTGCAGTCTGCTATGTGAACGGGCTCGAGGAATCTAGACGGGCCGCCATCACCGTAATTTCCTATGTTGTATATTATAGCATACCTGATTCTTGCTTTTCTACTGGCTGAATGCATCTGATTGGCAATTTTGCATATGCCATTGAAAAGTCTAGGCATTGTAAGTATGAAAGACTTGAACCAAGCTTCCAGTTGAGAATTTGACGATTCACTCATCTGTGACCCTTTAAGCCCCATTGTGAACTTTCCAGCTATACCCCAGTCACACATGTGTTCAGATGATCGCTTCATCTTATTCAAGAATCGAACCCCTGTAGCAGCATTCTTCTGAGACAGTATATCAATGGAAATATAAAGGTAATGTTCACATAGGTGTTGCGTTGAGGCGTGCATAGCTTTGTCTAAAGCCTCTTTCACTCGCCCACTGTAGTACCTACCAAGATTCTTACTGTTAGTTTGCCATGCATGGTACCTATCAGCAAAATAAAACTGTCCTTCTCTAACATCGGATAAACTCAAAAATCCGTCGGCAAAAACTATCTTAGTTTTCAATGGCGCCCTCTCGCCCATTGATTTCTGTAGAGAATCTGATGCAAATCTATATATTTCTTTCGTCTCCATATAGAATAGCATAGCACCGAAGTACTTGATTTTGCCGTCGTTGCCTGGCCCTACCAATATAGAGATTTGCCACCCCCACTCGTTATTTCCCTTATGGCGAGCATCCATGCTGACAATACGACCAAAGTTTCTATAATTCTTTCTCATGGTGTTCGTCATTCAAAGAACACATTTGAAAACATTACTCACTTTGCCACGCAAAGTTCGAACATCCAGGTGCGAGTCCATAGATTGTGCCAATTTGAAGAAGTTGAGAAAGTCGCTCCTGAGGTGAGGATTAGAGGTATGCATTAAAGGTGAGGATTAAGGGTATGCATTAGAGATATGTAAGGTGTGCAATAGAGTTATGTAAGGTATGCATTAGAGTTATGTAAGGTATGCATTAGAGTTATGTATTAGAGATATGCATAGGTATACATTAGAGTTATGTATATTGCGAGAGAGGTGTGTGAGAGAGGTGTGCGAGAGGTGTGCGAGAGAGATGTGCGAGATAGGTATGTGAGAGAGGTGTGCGAGAGAGGTGCGATAGATATGTGCGAGTCAGTATATATATATGATTTAAATGGTTGCGATGGAAGTGTAATAGATTATTTTTTCTAATTCCTTTCCTTTTCAGTAATGTCAGCTGGACTTCCACTTTCTGTTGCCAAATAATCGGGGTATTGAAGTACTTCATCGCTATGAGAAAGAATATATATATATATATATATATATATATATATACATATATATATATATATATATATATATATATA